TATATATTCATTCCCCACAGAAGTTAAATTTTAGTCATTTAGGACATATTCTAAACCTCCTTTGTGTTTTATATTATTTTATAAATAAAAAGAAATTTCACTCACGTATTTTAAAATGTCCATTGATAACCTAAAAAAAACCAAATGTATCATTCAGTAACCAAACAATAATTAAGTAGAGAATATACTGATATTTGGAGTACAAATATAGCTGGCCTACAGCGGAAATAAATCTGTAATGGACCTTCCAGGCCTATGCTAGCTTACCTTACCGCTTCCTTGATAACAAAAAACACAAATTCACTCGCCAATATATTTCTACTTTTTGTAGGCCTATATAACCGAATTTGCTGCGGCCTATGTGGGTGCATCCTAACATCTTAACAGTTAAGTAGTGAATTGGTTTAATACAGTTGCTTACCTTTTCGATGTAATCGTATGATGTGTTTGCTAGAAAATATCGAGTTGCATCCTCCCGCATTTGTTTGTTTATCTGACAAATTTTATCTTGCCGATTGTAATTCACAGAAAAACAGTAAATTTTTCTTGAACAAGTCAACAAACATTGGATGCGATCAATGTTCTCTAACTCCTGACTCCAGCCAAGTAACACATGATGTTGCACAACAACATACTGACCTGTGCTGGTAACAGAAATACTGGCTTTAAAGTAGGAGAGGAACGAAAACAAAACTGCAAAGAAATACATTATCATATGACCTATTAAAACAATTATTTGAATTTGAATTAAATAATGTCTTGTATTTTTAAACTGCGATCGGCAATAAGCTTGACTTATACCGAGATCGTATGGAACGGACTTCAGTAGAAGCATGCAATTTATCTCAGCAATTATTAATTGGCGCCAGCGCAATGGCCTTATCACTGCATCTCAATTAGATTCTATAATTATGAAATATGAAACCTTTGCGGTAATGAACACAGTAAATAAATCAATTGTAATTGTAAATGTATACAGCGCATAATTATAGCATAGAGCAAAAGTTTCTTTGCTCTATGATTATTGTGAGTAATTACTATCTGTGCGTTGCAATATGGCGGTCCGTGTGTATCGGTGTGATCTTGGGTGTGTGAACGGTACGCTTTTTATCCTAAGTCATGTCCAAACTATCAAAGAAAATTTGAAATATTAGGCATGCCTAAATATGATCACGATTACATCACATCATGACCATATATAGCCACACCATGACTACATGGCAGTGTGGACAAAGCTAAGCAATTATAACGACAAGACAGCATGTCAGAATAGCTAAAAAAAACCCAATATAACAATGTAAGGGACAGAATGGAAATTGCTTTGAGGCAATGATTGATTTCACTATTACATTTTTCATATTTACTTTAATGTTTCTATTATATTTTAATGTTTTGTGTAACGTTTGTATATGTGCAATGACATTATTCTGCTCCGTTTTATATTCATCTTACGAAAGTTTGAATATTGATTCTTGAAAACTTAAAGATCCCGAGTATGATAAAGCATGGAAGTATAAAAAAAAAAACCTCCATGGATAGAATAAACAAATAATAATGATGCATGATTTGACCATAGAGCAAAGAATGATTTGACCAACAAATGTAGCGAGGATCATAATCAAGGAGGTTGCTAAAACCAGGACCGTAGCCACCGGTATGGTTGGTTAGGTTTCAACCTGACCACTCTTTGACAGACCACAAGTTAGTTGATTAGGTTTTGAATAGGAAAAAATTACTACAGAACTTTAAAATTGTTCTTATACAGTGTATAAACAGCAATTTTTCCTGGGCCTTTGGCCCCTGAACCCCGTCTATGAGCCCTTACCCCCTGATCCCCAGCCTCAGTGCTGGCTTTGCTACGGCCCTGAAAACCTATAAGTGTCTAATAATTTACAAATTCACATTTACAGAGAGCCGGTGTGCACTTATACATAAGTGCCTTTAGAGATCCGAAGAATGGTGATCAGTAATGGACCTTCCCGCTAAGCTAAGCCTCTTGGATATGGCTGTAAGTTCCCACAATAGCGTAAATGTACGTTAGTCTGCTTAACCGCCAAATGGCTTTTGTCATATATTATAATAATTATAAGAATTATACGAAAACCGAGTAATTTATTTGCGGGTGATCGTGAAGTCGAATGTCGAGATGAATCGTAGCGATCTTACCGTAGCATAAATAAAGTTATGAATTATTGAATAAAAATAAAACAGTTATGGTTTAACAAATGCTAAAATAAAAAATACCTGAGCATTATTTACAGTAGTTGATGCCTCTGAAACAATACAGGAATTCAGTGAATTTGTAGAATCAGATTAAACTTTCTGGTAGTAAATTAGTTCATGTGCCTGGTGATTAGAATTTGTTTTTTTAAAGTAGTCTTTAATTTTGTTAATCAGGATTGTTAGATGGTGTATAGAATATAACCATTACGTAATTGCTGTCTCTTATACACATCTAGATGTGTATAAGAGACAGGCCCTACCCCTTAAATATTTAAAAAATATAAAAAAAAAAAAAAAATGAACAAATAGAAAATCATATTCAAATTTAGGTATAAGACTAATTAATTAATATTGAGCTATGACCCCCTACTTTCTTTCATTCAAAAACTCTGTTCTCATACTAAAGGTGAATATATTTATTACATCACGATCTAATGGAAAGCTAAAGCTTTGGAATGAAATATGTGGCCACATTAAAAACCGCTCAATATACAAAATGGGTTTTTTCGGACATGCTTAAACAAGTAAGCAACTAATCAGCTGACCGGCCAAATAACCAACCAACAAGTAAGCTATACGATGTTATTTTGAATGCTTGCGGTAAACCACGTAATATAGCTCAAAAGAACTATCAGTTTTGTTGAAAATATTGTTATATACTGATTGCAATTAACATTATTTCGTACTACGCAATGTTATATATTTATCTTCTCCCCTTGTCTGTCTTGTCTCCTCTTTCCTTTCTTCTTCTGTGTTTCTTTCTTTGTAATTTGTTTAGTCTCTGTCCTCTCCCTTTGTTTATTTTAAGAATGTGATCCTTGGGAGTTTTCTAGATGTTTTTCCTTTGATCAATTTTGTAATGCTTTTCTTTGCTTATTTTTAATAAAAGCAATTTTAAATAATATATGTAGCACTCTGGACTAACAGATTGTACTAGATTAAATTTATTTCCCTATTTTTTGTGGACGCTAGCTTCATCATTCAAAGTACAGTAGACAACAAATTCATACGCATTAATAAATAAATAAGATATTTTTAAATTTTAAACTTAAACATCTATAAGTATGTATGTAAATTAAGTTAAATAAACACTAAATTATAAATCAATTGTAAAACACCAGTCCGATCTCGCTTTGAATAAGTATATCAGCAGTGATAGTCAACTGTTTATCAGTTAGTGACATAGCCATATATTACTGTCATATAATTGCAAATACCAAGTACCAAGTAAGTAAAATTGACAAGGCCATTTGATTCGATGTTTCTCCTAAATTTAAACGTCTTAGGAATGGTAATGCTTTAAAACGAAACGTCTAATAACATAATGATGTAATAACAAGTTTGTTGACGGTCCGTTCATATACTGCCACCAAAATTCGTCTAACATTCACAGGGAGCGCAGTTCGATTGGTCGATGATTGAAATGCCGTTGTACAACACAGAGAATGACCGGTTTTACTTTCTAGCTATTATTAAAATATAGGATTGCAAAAAAGCTGTTTCAATTAATTAAAAAAACATAATATTTATGATAGAATAATGCATACAAATTTTCTGCAAAACAGAAAGTAATTGGGTTAAATTTTATTATATGAAACTACATACACGCATGCAATAACGAATTAAAGTGTAAACACAAACACATGCGACGAGAAAGCTAAGGCACATTTATTGCACTGTAATGGACGATATATTTTATATCAAGCGAGCATAGAATATAACCATTACGTAATTGAAGTTGAAAATTTAGCTCTACTAATTTCTTCGCTCCACCAAGGCTGTTGCAGAAACTAACACTTGAATTCAACATTGATGACCTACAGTAACAGATATATACATTATGGTCAGGATATCAGACGCATGCGTCATATTATGAGGAAATTTGCACAGAATTTCACTTATTGGAAGAAGAAATCTGGCATAACTTTGAAAGTAACCAAATTATGTCACGTTCATTTCCTGTACATTGTGTAGAAACAGGGTCTTTATTTCCATTTTTATGGTGTTCAGACTTGGTTTTAAAGTCTGCCTTGGTAGGTGTTTGTCTGGTGCCTTTATTTTGCCTAAATAAGGAACCATCCAAGTCGTTTCTTTTTAGTAACCTTCATTTCAGATCACTTAATACACAGAAGCTGTCTCACTATTAGGGGATGTAGGTTTCTAGAAGTAGAGTGCATGTGACGCAGCCTGTAAAGCAGTCTAAAGCCAGGGAACAGTGAAAATTTCACTGTTCCCTGAAAATTTCACTGTTCCCTGAAAAAGCCATCTGCTGATTGTCGGGAGCAGCAAAGATAATAGAATGAGATAGACTAGCTTTGAGATATAGTGAAACTTCTGGTCGAAATGCATGTGAGAAGATGAGGTCCATAGAGAGTATTTATACTCCATCCGAGTGATGGCGGTATATATTTATAATAAAGGCGCTGCTCGGACTGGTTTCTCCATTCCGCCAAATGTTTACCATTAATATTTGTTTTTATCTCCAAACGTGAGGATAAGTAAGAAAAATATGGTAAGTGATATGAATGTTTACCACTGTACTTTAACTCCCATATTCTTATAAAACCAACTTTAGATGGGGTTTGAACTAATTAGTTTTAAAGTTTTAACATATTATAGTTGCAACTTTGAAATTCACAAACTTAAACACATATAATTCAAACTACATTCACAACCATAAACATAATGTAATTCCACAAGAGATTTAAACAAGACAAAGCTTTAGATGTCGATAAAAATTAAGCTGCTGTCAATCATTAATATTACAAGTATCAAGTTCCAATAATCTTACGTAAATTCATATCATAATTGTCATTTCGATATTTTTATATGACTTTCTGAAAAATTCGTGTAATAAATCTTTTGTTGTAAATCGAAGGCAATTAGTCAATATGTAAATAATGCTTAGTAAAAGGTTTAAGCACTTTAGTATGAAAATTTTAAATACAAGCATAGTAGTACAATTGAAAACAATAAATGTTAATAAATCAAAGAATTAATACACTTATTTGGATTGTTAGGATATGAATAATTATCTATACTCCTACATATATGCATACTTTATCTATTACTCTGTAATCTCTGGTTTAAATAATTATAGCATCATTATTCTAATGAGGCAGTCAACCCGTGCGATTTTACAACTACCAGTAGTTGTTTTATTCCATATAACAAAAGGAGCTTGCAAGAAATGTTGCCTTATTTTGGTAACCCCAGGTAATAACTGACACAGTGTAATTAGCACAACCACCCCTGGCTTTTGCTACAGGGTAAACGACTTCTCCACTAGTGACCCAGCCAGCACTACAACAGTCATATCCTGACTGCTGTGCGTACTCTACTTCCGCTCTCGTTGCCATTCTACCGCCGCGACTTTTGCAGAAATCACGAGCATCATAGTAATTTAAAGTGTAACCCATTTCTACACTCGCGACACGATGAGACGGGAAGGGGTCAGTATAAGTTATGTTTTGTTTTGAGAGAGGGACAAAACAAAATGCGTTATATTCGTTTGTCGGACTTTTGAACCGAATTAAATTACCTATTGGAAAAAGCCAAAAGTCAGGTGGCATATGCCCATAGCATGGGTTGCCTGCCAACCAATTTGAAAGCCATCCTGCTTCGCAAAGATTAACTCCTAGTGACAACGAGGTTGTATACACCTCAACAGGCATTGCAAGATGACCACCGAAGTCAGTACTGCAACATATCTCAGCATCTTCTGCATTCAACTTTTTTGAGTTACTGTCTGTCAGTCGAATGATCCGTTGGGTTTTTGGTAAATAGTCAAATATATCTACCGATTCGTTATAATCTCTGTAACAATAAACCCCACTTTGATATATTTTGCAAGGAAACACATTGCTACGCTGTTCTGGTGGTTTTAATGTGCATTGACCTGTTATTTCGGTAAATGCAATCTCTCCACTGATAAGCCAGCCCTCTTTGCAGTTCTTCAGACTTGGTTGAAACGCGTTGTATAACTGCTCGTAAGAAGCAATTGAGCCTGAACGGATTCTGCAAATTTTTTCTGCTTCCTGGTAATCATGAAAAACTGACAGGAAATATACACCATCTGAAGTTAAGCAAAAACAGATTATAACAATCCGTAAGAAATATATAGTAACACTGCCTAGCTACTGAATTGTATTATATTTAAACTTGTTTAGACTAAATGTGTGTTTTAAGGACCGAAATAAAAGTTAATGATCAATTGAATTTTATAAAAGAAATTTAAACCGTTGGTTTTTGTATGTTTGAAACTTGTGACAACGTTTTAATATTAATAGGTAGTGGATTGTTTTAGAATTTTTTTTTTATTTTTTTTTTTTTTTTGTATTTTCGAGGTTAAAAATTAAATTATGTTTACAAACAAATTTATTTACAACTGTGCAGAGACATACTGTATGTTAGTTTTTTTTATTAGAATAAACGCTAACAGTTGTTATTGTAAAGAGTTCATCAATGGTTACGGTATTAGTCACATTCTCAATAATTAACCATTGAAGTAATTATCAATTGTATTATCTTTTGTTTTGAAAGAACACGGTTCAATTTTGATATATTGCCAATACATATCTAAGATCAATAAGATCAATTTATATTATTATTGTTTGTTAGTCTGTAAAATGCTGTTTGTTTAGTTAAATGAATCAATGCCCTCCCTGGTAACCGTAACAATAATTAGCTTTGATTAATGATAGCATTTATTGTAAATTATTTCAAATTTTTCAAACTGGGCACTATAACAAAAATAGTGAAAGAAAATGAAACATACCTTTCTGAAATTCTTTATTGATGACCTGCAATAACAAATATTATTAAATTTGCTGAATCCATAAAATTAACATAAGCGATTCTTCCTATTTAACTATGTATAAAATCTAATGCGTAGGTTTTCTTCTAACATTAAGCAAATATACATTTTCCTTAGTAATTTAAATAAAATCCTACGTAGGCCTATTGCAATTTAGTTTTCATTATAATTGACAAATGTGGCTATAGTGATTGTTATTATTTGACATCACTTAGTCTTCATATGAATAATGTTCATGCAATTTTTAGTTGACCTTCAAACAATTATGCTTATTGAAAGATAATTAAAATTATAACCATTGTTTCAATTTTATTTGAAATATTAGATGTTACTCTTATTGTTATCAAACTGAAAGTTGCCGCCTAGCAAACACAACACATTGGTAACATTCGAGAACGCTGTAATCGTTGTGGTTTAGTTAAAATTACGTAAACACAAAGTTTATATATTATTATTATTCGGAAATTAACTTAAAAATACGTATTTATGGTTCTACGAAAATACAGTCAGTAAACCAAAATAATTGTTAGCTGGGCAGTGATTAGTCTATCGAAATTATTGAAAGTCCTGCTTCTTGATATTTGCGCCGTGGAGACCACCCCGACTCAAACCCGGCGGCACCGCGTATTTGTAGTCTGGTCGTTCGGCTCCTGGTGTAACACTCACAATTTTCAGACCTAATTAAGGATTCCACAATAATTATACACAGTAATTCCTTGATGACTAGTAGATATTGTATTCTTAATCCATGAAGGGTGTAAAGTTGGAGTTTCATTTTTGCCATTACTTGTAATATATTATAGTAAAAGTGATTATATTTATTTCAGTATCAACCATCTAAAGAC